TGTTCCTGGCTGCAGGAATCGGACAAACATGGGACACATGATTCTGTATCAACTCAGGGAAGAACAGAAAATGTTGGTTCCTTCTAGCAGTAAACTCCAGATGAGGAGCCAAAATCTCCACCGAGGTGCCACAAACATATTGTCACATCCAGAGAGAGTATTTTTACCCAGGTTTCTGAACTACTTTTATTTGCTGTTACAGGAGCAATCTGTAATGGATCTTCTGGCACTTCTTGCAGTGCCAATGATAGAATATAAAGTGTCTTCACTTAGATTTCAACTTACATTTTCGGAGAGGCAACTGATCTGCTTTACAATTAATTTGTCAAATGTATGAAAAAATACTTTATTCAAACACAATGTTTTTTACGAAAATAGAACCATCTCGAGGAATGAATCAGTCTAAGCACTTTCTTGTTAGTTATATTGCTGTTTCTCATTTGCAGGAAAAATGATCAGAAGAAGGACCATAAATCAGCCATTTCAGGGTGATGGGAGACCTTGTCCCTCTCAGATGGAGCAATTCAAACCCTGTCCAGTAAAACCCTGTTATCGATGGCAATACGGTCAATGGTCTGCGTGCAAAGTAGAGGTAAAAGCCATATGGGATGTTGAAGTTCTGCAGCTTGTATATCTAGGCACATTTGTGATGTGTTCAGATACTTGTGTAAAAACAGTAAAAAATTTGCTTCTGCCTCTCTTATACAAAAACTAAAGGTTTATTTTTAGATAATAAATAAGATAATAATATTTTATTTTATGATATCAACAGATATAAGAATGTCCTACAGATATTCAAAGTATAAATGTAAACTTTGGCACCTGAGCAGCATCTTTGCTAATAGTTGAAATCCTTCTATTGTAAAAGAACTTCTGTGGAAATAGATTGGCATCCTGGAAGAGAACTCGGCTTGAGATACTGCTGTAGTTGCAATTCAAAGGCATAATTAGCTCCATACTTGAGAAATAGTCATAGCAGCCAGAAGAGCTTTTGGTTTTGTTTGTTTGTTTCAGAAGCAAAGAACAAAGTTTTTTGGTTTTTTTTAATTTTATTTTATTTTTTCCCTACTGTAGTGAATAAGTCATTAAGCAAAAAATAATGGGAAACAGAGTGGCATGTAAGTCAGATCTAGTCTTTTGACACTTTCTTCTGCCCAGCATCCATGTATGTCCTCCTTCCCCAGGATGCTCAATGTGGAGAGGGAACACGAGTGAGGAACATTTCCTGTGTGGTTTTTGATGGATCCGCTGAAGATGTTGGCAAAATAGTGGATGAGGAATTCTGTGGAGAAATAGAGCCTATTATAGATGGTAATAAGAAGATGATACTTGAGGAAACCTGCACTGTCCCTTGTCCAGGTAACAAAGCTATTCAAATAAGTGTGGCATTTCAGGATTCGTTGGGTATCATTACAGTTATCAGTGCCTAGCATTAGCCACAGGCAATTAATTTTTTTCACATGCTTTACTGATTGGATTAATCCATCAAATGACCAACAGTCTCACTTTCAGGTAGTGGCTTCATGACAATATATCAATTTAAAAAATACCAGGTTTTAAATTTTATAAAAGACACGTCTCAGTCACAGATTGTGCCTAAGGAGAATATATTTTTTCACAAAATCTTTTGAAATAAAACCTGCATTTAACTCTATAAGAAAGAGTGTTGGTTTACAGCTAAATATTTGCTTTAAGTGCTTAGATCACCTAACAGGTTTATTAATACTTTTAACAGTGGCTAAGAACTTGATGCCTTTTACAGATGTCTAAGGAGGCTAGGCTAGGGAGTCCAATTTTTTTGTTTTAAGAGGCTATTTCAAAGGAAACTAGTATTTTGATCTCTGAGAAAATGTGTTTCTAGCTGTTTAACTTGCTGGATGTGACACGCACTATCATTGCCCTTGTAGACTTAATCCAAAGGAGCTGTTATAAATGATCAGGTCCATGACCCTCTTAGTGAGAAGGATTAAGAGCCTATAACAGCTGTTTAATTTCCAATAAAACCCCTCCAGTTAATTTCAAACACTTATTTGTAGAATTTGAAGTATATTGTTGTTGTTCAGTAGAGTCATTAGTGGTATATCTTCAAAAGTAGTAGTGATTAATTCCTTCAGTTCAAATGTAGCTATCATTCCACACCAGCACTCTCTTTTTGCTCTTTTGGAACTCCTCTTCCTCAGAATTTTTTCCAGTTCATTTCTGATTGGACTGCAGGTAGTTGCCCCAATAAATAGAAAAGAATCTAAAATGGAGAGGCCTCCATCACTGCTTTGTGCACAGCATTCCAATTGTGTGATTTTCCGATATTTTAACTTATTAAATTAAAATTGGAAGAATAAAACGTTTGTAGTTATGTTTTCTGTTTGTCAAATATACATTAAAAAAAAATGTAGCTGCTTACTGCTCACTTATAAATTTTGCTGAGCAGGAACCTCAACAATCTCACATTTAGCCAGCAAGAGTAACTGCCCTGTAGGGATGTGCTAATGATACGTTCCAACTAATGCTTCCAAAAATCACTACTTGTTTTCCTATTATGTATACATCAGTTCTTCAATTATTCATTTCTTTGCATGCTTTCCTAACGTTGGCAAATAAAATTCCTTCATTAATCAGGCATCTGGTCAACACAGTACTGATTATATCTGTCATCAGTATAATGCAAGGTAGCATGAATTTTTAATAGCTCTTTCACTGAAATAATGAGAACTAAGAGGTTTATTTATGAGTCCGTGCACAGTCTAATCCCATTTTGTACTGTAGTTTTAACAAAATGGTCTTTTTGTATTGTGCCTCAGATCTTCCTTAAATGTTCTTTAGCCAATCATGCTAATTAGTGTCATTGGTATAATTTTATTTTTCAGTTTTACACTGTAAGAAAACATTCTACAAATCTCTATTATGCTAACGTGAAATAGCCAGAGCAGACATTTTAATCACCTTCCCATTTCCCTTTCTTGCAAAGAATGTTCCAGCAGTTGTTTCTACTGTCTGTTTGGAGAAATTCTGCATGAGAATGAGCAACAATTAATCTTTTTAAAACTAGAGAATGTTTTCTTGTTCTAAGATCAAAGAAGAATTGTGAACAAGAGATATAAATGTAACATAAGGCATACAGTGCACAATACCCTAAAATTTACAAAAATCCAAACATTGGGTGGTGTTATTCAGAAATGGGAATGCTACAGAACATTAGGGAATGCTTTAGAACAAATAGGGTTTTGTATAATCTTTTTATTACTATTTTGTTCTGAAAAGACATTCAGAGTGTGTCAAAATATTATAGTCTTTTAACTATAAGTCAACTGAAAAGACATTCAGAGTGTGTCAAAATATTATAGTCTCCTAACTATGTCATGTTTAAAAAGAGGAATGAAGGGAACTATAAAGAGAGAAAATTAAGAAACCAGATTTGGACAGTTTTTCTAAGACATATTCAGTGCAAAAAACTCTTCATGTGTGATGCTCATTCATCTTATGAAATTGCTATTTGACAGGGGACTGTTACTTGAGAGAGTGGTCAGAATGGAGCCTTTGTCAGTTGACCTGTGTTAATGGTGAGGATCTTGGCTTCGGAGGGATACAAGTCCGATCTCGGGCAGTGATCATTCAGGAATTAGAGAATCAACACCTCTGTCCAGAACAGGCTTTGGAAACAAGACCATGCAATGGTAAGTACCAAAATACACATAAGGTCACAACAAAAAACCAAACCGAAACAAAAAAAACAGAATGAAAATAGTTTTATTTTCTTTCTGTTCATGTTATCAAATTTAGGCAAATACAGATGTGAGAGATATAGAAGTGCACTTAAATTTTTGTTTTTCAAATAGCTGTAAACACAAAACCTTTCAGACGCTAGTGATCATATGCTACCACTTCCAACACAGTCTTTGGAGAACTGATGATCCTTTATTAATGATGAAATTTCTTTTTATGATATGGGAAAAAATAGTTGCCTTATCTGCTTGATAACGTTAATAAAAAGAAATCATTATGTTTTGATACATAGAATCATAGAATCGTCTAGGTTGGAAGGGACCTTAAAGATCATCAACCAAATTTAGATTTCTCTCTTCCCTTGGAATTGTTGTTATCGCATGACACTGACATTAAAAAAATCTCAGTCATGCTTACCATGGTACTGGACAAAGTATCTAAGAAATGTCATTTCCTGTACAGACATTTCTTGTCCATTCAGTTGCCAGACAGACCAGGCAAAAAAGAAACATATTTATAAGGGCCCTAAGGTGCAGAAGGACTTCATGATTTATCCCAGGCCATATGGGGGATGTACAGCAGAGCTGAGACATGAAGCCAGATGCAACCCAGGCCACTTCACCAAGCACTGGAGCATTGACTGAAGCTCAGCATTACCAGGAGAGGAACCTGACTCCTAAATGAGTTTTGTGCAACAGATGGGACACAATCATTATGAGGTTATTGGAAACATCTGTTTTGCCCAGTAACTGCATTAGGCTTACTCCACATGCAGTGTGTATGACCATTCCACTTTGTGTTGGGGACACATCTGGTCTACTCTCTAAGTATCCAGTAAGTGCAGGAGACCTTGAGGCTTCCATGTGTGTAGTGCACCCTTCTAAGTTGCTGGGTGAAAGCGAAAGGGGCCTACTTAGCCATAAAAGCCATTAAACATAATGAGTATGGTCTACTGACGAGTGTGGCTGCCACCAGTGTGGCCTAAAATCTTAATTATATTTCTTGATGACTGAATGTTCTCTATGTAGATGGGCAGTGCTATGAATACAAGTGGATGGCTAGTCCCTGGAAAGGATCTTCTCGAACTGTGTGGTGCCAAAGGTCAGATGGTTTAAACGTCACAGGTAACTACTCTTTTTATATATACACAAAAGCCTGGAAAATAGGTGGATAATGTTTTTTCCCAACAAATGGAAGTGTGTTTTTTTTAAAAGAATCTGCTGAAAACAGTTCTTCCTGTTATATGAATCAATGTGCTGTCTTGAATCATCATGTCATTTCTTTTCCAGAATTATGCAGCCTGTAATGCAAAAAGTAAACATAAGTATTATCTTCTGTACTGAACCTGGAATGTTTTACATTGTGTATTTTTTGTACAATAGACATCCTTACACTTCCAAATTTAGGGTTTCAGAATCCAAGCCATACACCAAATAGAACTTGTATATATTAAAGTTCATTTCAGTGCCTATGCAGGGGCAGAGAGGGATGCAATGATTGATATATGCCTGATTGATAATAGGACACATATATCATGTATCTCCTTAAAATCACAAAATATCAAATTTTAATAAATGTGCTAATATAAAGCTTCTTTCTTTACTTCAATTATGTAAATCTATAGCAGGATACTTCAGTGAGCAGCTATGGGATGTAGCTACTTTTTTGTGAAAACCAAAGCACATCCTCAATGCCACAGCGATGTAAATCTATAGCAGGATACTTCAGTGAAGTATCAGGGATGTAGCTACTTTTTTGTGAAAACGAAAGCACATCCTCAATGCCACAGTAGAGCTCTAATTCATGGCCTGCCAATACAATACTTCTTGATGATGGAATCCACCACTACTGCCTGTTGTAACAGTATAACTAAAATATCTGTATTATTTTTACAAGATTTTGAAATAATATTTAGTAATCTAAAATCTCTTTTGCAAGTGTGACCTTGTGCTGTAAGAATATTAAAATACAACAGGGCATTACTTATGCACCTTGATTGCTTTCTGCTTAGCTAAGATGCTTTTATGGTAAGTAAAAGTCTAATTAAGGATTGTTATTGAAATTAGTATATGATATTATCTATTGAAGGTCCTACAGGATTTCAAAATAAGTAGCATCTTGGTGATTAGGGCTCTGAGATGTCAAAATCAGAATATATTCACAAATCACAGTCAGTCACGTAAAAATAATAGCTGGTTCTGATTTGACTGAATACAGCCATGTGATAAATTCCAGGAAATACTAGTGTATGAATACGTGTTGTTGGCAGATTATTCATGATGGGACCTCCTATGCAGACTAACTTCAGACCTATGTTGTATTTCTTTTTTCAAAGTTTGTTTGTACATCGTTTTAAAGCTATGATAACTTTCTGATTTGAAATGAAGAGTAGTAGAAAATTCCAGAGAATGCAATTACCAGCTTCCGTGCAATGAGAGGCTGTATTTTTTTATATGTTCCTGATAGTTTTCAAGCAAAACACTGAAGTGTAATGCTCTGTGAGAACTTCTCCTTATGAAATATACAGTCATGAACCAGATTGTAATTTACATGTGAACATTTTTTGGAAGTGGTTTGTATAAACTACAGTATTTAAGAGCTCAAACTGACAGATGGATGTACACAGTTGATTTAAATGGAGATTACCTATTTTGACCTATTTTGATATCTTCTATTTTGTTTCTCTGCTGCCCTATTGCTGCACATTTTCTCTAACATAATGTATTTTAATTCAGACATTTATTATGAATCCTGTTGGTATACTAAGGCCTTTATTTATTTACTTGCGTAATGTTGTCGTGCTGAATAGTTCTTTTTTACTTGAAGGTGTTGTTTCCCATGGACGATGAGGCAAATCTTTCCTTCTGCAGCTTCCTTGGATGACTGATATTTTATTACATAGATTCCTACAGGCATGTGATTTGTATGCTAGGATGGACAATTTTCTTTTTTGGGGGTGGGGAAAAGTTATGGCAACCAGCAGGGTTTTCTTTGTTTTCCATTGGCCATCCCGTTAACACTTGGATCTGCATAACTGCATCTAACTGCATCTGCTACGGTTGGGACCAACCTCAGCTATCAGGATTTCATCATCATATCACACCAGTATAAAAATGTCATTAATTTGGGAGATGCAAGATAAGTCATCCTGTAGCAGTATAAATTTTAAACTACGTGCCGCATATCACTCTTCTGTAAGATGGAAGGAAACTGAGATAAATTCAAACTGATTCTAAATGTAAAGTCATTCTGGCTGAGATGATAGTGAAAGCCTGATTGTGTGTATTGGTCCATAACAATAACTGCACTGTACCTAAAGCTGTAGAAATGAGAGCTAGGACTGTATAAAAAGGAAAAAGACTGAAATCCACTATATCATCAGTATCATAGCATTCAGCACATGCTTTACTGATAATACTACTTTCAAAAATCTCTTAGACTAGCATGAAGTGTGGCTTCATAAGAGGCAAAGCTATAGCATGTGTAAAAGTGACTACTGAGGAGCAGCAGAAAACAGGTATCCATTCATAAACTGGATGAGTAGTTTGGTTTCAGTTCAACAGGCAAAGATATAAATTTTTAAAAAATATGCTTTTATTTTCTTTGTGGTCATGGTTTTAATATATAAGTCATAAGGAGGGCCCTAGATAATCAAAATCTGTTCCCTCAAGCAAAACAAAACACTTAAAATTTATTTTGAGCAATACACCAAAGGAAAAAATAAAAGATTCAGTTGCCAAATATTAGTTCTCTAAAATGCACATGAATGCAAATACATGTGCTGTACCCTTACTCTGCCTGTAAGAAAATACTTGATGCCAATTATCCTTCACCTTAGAATAAGAGGAGGACTCTTAAATTCAAATTAGCAATAAAATTATAATCCGTGACATACCGTAGCAAGTAATGACATCAGTAACTCCATCTGGGGTGAGGTATTTTGCCGTGTCAAAATATGATTTTCTGTCCTACAGGGGGCTGTTTAGTGATGCGCCAGCCAGACGCTGACAGGTCATGTAACCCACCGTGCAGCCAACCCCACGCTTACTGCAGTGAGGTATGTGCTACTGCATTGGGGCATACAACACCCCCGCCAGGGCTTCCCACCCAGCTCTCTGCATTGCAAAGATTGTGCCAACAGAAAGTATTTTCGGAGATCTTTTGCTAAACGTTATCTGGTTAAAATCGACTTCAGGCCATTTCCTGCCTTTCAATTAAATGTTGAGTAATCGCTGTTGGCTTGGGACGAACCTGCATAGAAATGTATGAAGAGGTACTCACCAGGCTAGCACTCATCAAAACAGTCTTCTCTTCCAGTCATCCGTGTTGTTATGCTTTATGGCTCACAGAAAACCGTGTTTTTCTGCTACACAGTGTAAAACACTTGTTCCCCACAGACTAGAACGTGCAGTTGTGAAGATGGATACACTGAAGTGATGTCCTCCGATGGCACACTCCAACAGTGCACACTCATCCCGGTGGTGGTGATCCCCACCATGGAGGACAAAAAGGGAGATGTGAAAACCAGTCGAGCTGTGAACCCCACCCAGCCCTCCAGTAACCAGTCAGGAGGACGAGGAAGGACTTGGTTTCTACAGCCTTTTGGGCCAGGTGAAGTCATGCAATGAGCAGTTCTTAATGCTAAGTGCTGCTGCAGGGTCTGGCATTTACATTTTTTGTGATGCTGAGGAAGAAAAGAAAAGAAAAACCCTTAACTGTTCATTTAAGAAGATGGGCATCTGCCCTGACTGAAAACAATGGAAGAGATATAAGCAAACCCGTAGACTTCTCAGCTCCTCCATCAGTACGTTTAATGGAAGCTTGTATTGCAGATTTCCTTTTAATCCCTTCTACCTATTAAAAGTCACAGTAGCTATTTGAAATGTAACTTTAGAAGGGAGGTAGGTGCAAAATTGCAAGGCAGGATATTAGATTATGCTGTCCTGACCAATAACGCTGTAGACAGAGGAGTGAGAAGGTAGCACTGAAGACTGCAGAGGGCAAGGGCTGCTTAAAATTTGCAGCCGTAGCATAAATGGTAGGAAAATAATTAGTATAGATATGCTAATGCTTTTCTGCCATATCCACATTTAAACTAATTTATGTTAGACAAGAGCTAACCATATTATTGAAATTTAGCTCTAAGTCTCTATATTTGCTTTTATGATGGACCAGGTTCTTTAGTGCTGAACAAGGATTTATGTGCAAGAGTGGCAAAAAATACATGGCAAGACAGTTATCCCATCAAAAATACTTCATGAAGTCCATCATGTAGTCAGATTTCAGTAAATATTTCATGGTACTATGAAGCATTGAGATTAAATGAAACTTTAAGTAACAAATTACTTTCACAGAAGGAGATAACGATGCTTGTCCAAAATGATAGTTAGATTGAGGGCAATTGCTTATCTTCTTAAGTGTCTTTTAAATCACATAGAGCTAAATATTCTACCACACTTGTGTCTTAAAGTGTTCGGTTTTTTTAAACACTTTTATGAATGTTTTTAGTTTGATAATTAAAAACAGTATCTTTACCTCCATAATACATAAACTGCTGAAAACTGAGAACTACAGAAATACTTTTAATAAGCAGATTAAACCATGTTTGGGTTAGAAATACTTATGTTAGATCCCATTAGTCCTATTTACTGTTATTTGTACTGTAACTCTATATTTGATACCTGCAATAAAATGGTCTTTACTCCAATTAGCTAATATTTTAATCCACAATAAAAAAAAAAAAAGGAAAATTAAGCTTTTCTGGTCCTCCTTTAAAAAAGAGCATCTTGCCAAATATGTTATCTTTTACTCATTCTAGCTCACTCCACCTGCAAATGCCAGAGGGTGGGTTGTAGCAGCCAGAGTGCTGACAGTGAGCAAATGTCAGTCACCTTTAGCTATTTAGGAAAGTGAATGCTCATGTGAGCTCAGATATGGTTTTTGGAGCAAGGAACAGCTGAGAGATTTAATGAAAACTCACCAATTTTTCAGTAGTTCAAGTTAGGAAGGAAACATAGCTCAGCTCAAAACAACAGGATTCAATAGAACTAATAATTCATTCAGTGAAGGTATGAGCAAATGTGGAAGAAAGAGAACATTTTGCACTTCAAATGAGATTTATGCTGTTTTTTTTTTAATTTTTGGATTAGTAACTACTAGAAAGGTTTTGATTTACTTTAGCCTGGTTATTCCTTTCCTCACGGTTTCTAAGTCTAGACGTAAAATAGTTCTTTCACCATCTTCAACAGATTTTATTGCAGTTCCAGAAAGGAAGCATTTAAACTATCCTCATCAGGTGTCTGTGCTGATGTATTACCCAAAACAGATGCATTTGAGATGCCAGTTCCCTTGGATACGTAAAAATAATCTGTGCAGGGGAGTTCAGAAAGCCTGAGTTAGATGCCTCTAGTTGAAAAATATGAATGACCTCATTAACAGAGTTCCTTGCTTTGACAAAAATAAATAAATCCCTACACAAGGTAATGCCAGTCTTTTTTTCAAAGAGATAATGGTATTTTAAAACAAGCAAACCCAAACCAGCTCAAACTGCTTTACATTTACCAATGGAAATAAGTCGAGGAGAGAAGAAACTAATTCAGCACTACTGAAGTCTGAATTCCTCTCATTCGTATTATCGTATCATTGGCTACGTCAGGTCAAATCTACTGTTCAATCCATCTTTAATGGATGGGTTATTTCAGTTATATCAGTTATTATAAGCTATAATGTTTCATTAGGTTGATTAATGTAATGAAGCTAAAATGTTTCCATATTAATTAGTCTTGAACAAGTTGTCCACGTGACTGCAAGACTTTGCGTTGCTGGAGAACAGGAAGCCTGAACTTGACTGCACAGCAATACACAGGGCTACTGTGAATCTGAGCAAATTCAGTCTGATTAATCTTTGTTATTAATATGTTGTAAAAACATCAACTGCATTGATAATGCCTTTTATTTTTTTCTAGATATTTAGTAGGAAGCGAAAAGTATTTGGTCAGAAAAAGTTCTTGCTGTGTTTGATTACATTGAAAATATTCATGAATTCATGATATATCCCCTTGTAAATTAATTAATTCAGTTTTTTAATGTAATTTTCACTGTCAGTCAGGTGCAACAAAGCTAGCTAACCTCCTGTAAAAGAATGTTTTTAAAAAGCCTTTTAGAAATTTGCAAAATTAGTCAGATAAAAGTAGTGAGTCAAACAGAATGCACTGACCTTGGGTTGTGACGTGCTCATTTGGGGTTCAGAGATGCCACAGACAAAGTCCCACTGGTTTTCCTGGGACAGGTGGGTGCATCCACGATCCAGGCAATCAGGAGAGCAGGATGTAGACCTCAGAGTGCTGGGACATCATGTCCAAAATGCAAACTGCACAGATTACACAAAAGTAGAGCCCTTATTAACAACGGACACTGTTCTATTTATGAGTGTGAGTTGCTCTTTTTTTTTTTTTGGTCTATTTTTGCTTTTTCTATGAGGGGAAGTTTATTTGTAATAACAAAAGTGCATTTGGTATGGGTAGAAACTGAAAGTGAAAGTTATTTATGTGCAGTTAAGGCGTGGATGAGCTGGAACAGGCTAAAGGCATTTAAAAATATACATTTAAATAGCAACAAGAGTGAAAATTTCAATGAAAATTTACTGGAGCTAGAATGGAAAATGATGCCAAAAGCGTAAAGGAGTCCCAGGCTGATAAACTGCCCTGAAGGATTGTCCACAACCATGGGGCCCAGGGACTGGGTTTGGGGGGGTCTCACTTGCTGCCTCTGCCCCACGTCTCGGCTCCAGTTGCGTTATCGAGTTCGGTTGAAAAGCAGAACACAAGTGAGCAGAGAAGATATTGCTCTGTTGTTTCATAGTACTTACTCTTATTAAGCTGTAATTGCTAGTGGGTTATAAGAGTATTTCTTTACTAGATCAGAACTAATAATTCAACAAGACTAACTCAAGCACTACTGACTAACATTCATTCCTTTTAGATGGGAGGCTGAAGACCTGGGTTTATGGTGTAGCTGCTGGTGCATTTGTTTTACTCATCTTTATTGTTTCTATGATCTATCTAGCCTGGTGAGTTCTTTAATTATTTATGAACAAGCAGTCCCCCACAGACCGTAATGCAAGCGTTTACATATGCTGCTGTAGAAACTACAGGCACTTCTGTGTTTCATTTTCCATGTCCTTTGTCCCAGCTCAGGTTAGTGGACTCTGGTTGTAGTCTAGATGATGGCCAAACATGTGCTCTCTGAGGTTAGAAGAACTTCTTATAAATATGGGGTAGTTTAAGTGTAGAGTTTATTGTTGCCCAGTTTATCTCTGTTAAGAATTTACTGTGTCCCTGATAATTTCATTGCCTTTGTGTCACAAAATGCAGAGACAAATAGCAAGAAGGAAATTTAGTTACCAGATTTTTAGAAAATTAGACTCCAAATTTAGAAATTTAGAGTCAGATTTTATATTTTTCAGGTTATAGAGAGCTACAACCAAAAAAAGGTGTTTTTCATACGTGAACTAATATTTTTTGTTGAAAAATCTTAGTGCATGTGAAAGCAAAGATTTTTTGCAAGAACAAGTGACCTTTGAGAACACTCTCCCTGAAGTTTTCTAGGTCCTGTTTGGAATTTCTGATCCAAAGGACTGTGCAGTGGAAGGTGAGGGAAGTGTGGTCATACTCAGCAGTCTCTTGGCTGTACTGCATCAGTAAATATTTGGGGGGCTTCTAGATGTTTTTTGGTTTTCAGTAAACCTTCCCCAAAATCTCACTTGTGTAGGTGAGGGAAGTGTGGTCATACTCAGCAGTGTCTTGGCTGTACTGCATCAGTAAACATTTGGGGGGCTTCTAGATTTTTTTTTGGTTTTTAGTAAACCTTCCTCAAAATCTCACTTGTGGCTAAGTAAGAAACAAAAGCTTTTCTTTTTTGAGGGAGAGAACCACTGCAGATTCTTTGACTGGAATCTGTAGCCACTGGAAGCCACTGTACCAACTGGTTTGGTAGCAACGAATTAGATTTGAGAAGCCCAAGTGACAGAGCTGAGATAAGAGTTTGGACGAGACTGAGGATGGACAGGCCTGATTTAAAGAAATGCTTATAGTACAGTCTGAAAGAAGACATGCATAAACATGGATTTTCCTTTGGCTTGCTAATTTTTTAATATTCTATCAAATGGATTGGAAATACTGGTGGATTAAAATCTAATTCAAGGCTAGACAGGGAACGATTATGACTAACAACCATATCGCTGCTATTTATGACTGGTTTGATTATAACATATAAAATTAATGGTAGTCACTCCAGCAATTATGATGAGATAAAACTAATCAAAAGATGAAACTTCCCTGTGGAAACCCTTGATGTGTCAAAAGAGGTTAAGACTTGAGTCATATAATTTAAAAGAACCTGGTTGTAGCTTTGATACGTGACCAAATATTGCACTGCAGGCTCTGGGTTCTTCTGAAAATGGACTGATCTTGCAGGGTTACCTGCCAAGGATTTCATTGAGTTACATCAGGACCATAACAGCCTGTTTTTGAACAACTGAGCTTTGAATTAGATCTTGCTTTGGGTTGATAAAGAGAAAATTATTGCTCCAAGTGAAGGTTTTAGGTTTATAGCTTTTACAAATGATCAACCAAAAAGTCATGATCTTAAAAAGCTCACACTCATCTTTCATTTAAGACTGAAACCCATCTCTTTGTTAGTTCTTTGTTCTATTTACAAACTATCTTATTGTTTCAGCAAAAAGCCAAAGAAGCCCCAGAGAAGGCAGAACAACCGACTGAAACCTTTAACCTTGGCTTATGATGGAGATGCAGATATGTAAAATATAACTTCTCATGGTGACAAATGGAGTCTAAATTTATGGATTTGAAATCAGAAGGTATCCAAAGCCACAGGGATTTTCTATGGAGTGGATTAAGTGTTTTGACTTTTCCTTTTTTTTTAACTGCACCATAGATAAAGAAGGATGGATTTCATAATGCCTACAGATATTCAAGGTATTATTGCTTTACTTTAGACCATCAGCACTGAGAAATCTGGCAGAATCACATTAATAGACGCTGCAGTTGGAGATTTGTGGTCTTTCCTCAATCTTACAAACTATAAGCACCACTTCTGTCCTCAGAACACTGTAGCTGACTTAATATTAACAGTTGGAAGCCCCTGCAACATTAACCAAGTATAATCAGTCCGCATGAAGAGTTTGTACCAAGCTGTCTATGACTCTTTACATTCAAGCATAATATATATACTCGGGTGAACCATATGTATTACTCTCTCAGATTATATACTTGTTAAAGAGCATTTTTAGTGCTTAGTACAATATTAACACTTAACTGGGATTAACCTACTGAGCAAGTTCAACAGTTTGCCAGTTGATGATAACTTGTGTTAACCTGCGTTTCAGGGGGCAATGACTCACCTGCAAAATTCTGTCCTATTATCTCTCCAAAGCATAGAGGCCTCGTGTACGTCCAGAAAGGAGGCATTCTCACATTCAGTATTTTCTAGCGGTTGCTCTTCTGGAGAAAAAAAAAAAAAAAAAAAAGAATACCCATTGTAAATGTTACAATACGTTTCTACTTTCTCTAACTCAAACTGTTGCCTGCATCTTTTTTGCTACATGTAAGGCAAATTTTTGCACTATATTAGTGCAGCATGATATGCACTTAACTAGTATTGCCATAGAAACTGCCTCTTTTCGGAAAGGATGACGGCGTATCTTGTGCAAGGAGTGTCGAGTAGACAGGTCTTGG